TTTTTAAATATTGGATTTGTATTATATATATTCTTTAATAAATTTATTTTTTGAATATTCTTGTTTTTTTTATCTAAAAACTGTTAGCCAAATTAAGATTTGTTCACACAAACTGCATTTTTGCTTTATTATAGCGATATTCGCTATAATAAAGCAAAAATGCAATTTGTGTGAACAAATCTTAATTTGGCTAACAGTTTTTAATGCGGATAATTTTTACTGTCAAATTTGAATAGCCCCGCGCTTTTCTTCTCTTCTTCTTTTTATTATTTTCTCTTCTTTCATATGGCCTCTTACCAGACAAGGACTTAATTGAAAAAAAATCAACCACGTCCACCAGGTGCCGCTAAAAACTCTATCATCCTTTTTTAACATGGGAGTTACCGTTCTAAGAGTAAGTGTTCTGTGGATATACCAAAAAGTAAATTTATTCACAGTTTCTGGGGTCTAAAATAAGTCCATTTAAGCTAATTGCTTGTATATAAAAAATGGATAGTTAAAAAGTTATAGGGTGTTAAAGTAGAAATGTTAAAAGTGCTTTTGTGCTCTTGCTCTAAAACGGCTTAAGGACCGATTCCACCGTTGTGTTAAACGGAGAATAAAATGACATTGTTAATGTAAAAATGTCATTTTAAACTTCGTTTAAGACAACGGTGGAATCGGTCCTAATATATTTTTATGAAAATGTACATGGAATGTTAGTATACAGTGACCAATAAAATGGAGTTAGCTGCGTTTACAATTGTTTTAATTCTATAGGTTTTTAGAAGGGTTCCGTACCTACCTATTTGGCGCCCTATTTGTTTAAACTCCTCTGAAATCCTATATTTATTTTAAATTTTTTTTTTGTCTCTTAGTATTAATTATTGATTTATAGTCCACAAAAGAAGGTCACAGTAAAAAATAATCTTAAAGACATTTTATTCATGATCATAAACCAATATTTTTTGTTCACCATTTTTTTTTGTATAAATCTTTGCGGTTACTTAACAATACAGTTTTTATTCTTATTTTATTCTTACATCTAAGTAAATTTTTAGTAACAAGAATGTAAAAAAAAATGTTATAACTACACAATGAGATAATAGTATATACCTTCTGTAACAAGGTACGTGGTTCTTCACGTCCTCGTACACTTGCGTTCAGAATCTTTCACTCGTATCGAATTTTCATTCCGATATACTAACAGACTGTTCTTTCTCCATGGCCAGTAGGAATTGAATGTAGTGAAATAAGACTGATCAAAATTAAGTATTTAATCTAAATTATGTTAGGCATGTTTTTTCTTAAATAATTTGCATCATTTGACAATTTAGAAGTATTATCAGATTCCATATTATTATATCATTATATTCATCCATTTTTAAAGTTGAGTTCGACTCAACAATCGCTGTTTTATCTTTATTCGGGCAAATGCAAACTAAATAATATTTAGTCGAGTAGAATTGCCATTCATTAAATTCATGACTCTCAACGCCAATCAGAGCTGTCACCTATCACTGAGATTTAAATCATTTTTTGATTTAAATATATTTTTTGATTTAAATACTTTGATTTTACATCTTTTTTAAAAAATGATTTATGATTTAAATCTTTCTGAAAAGTATCTTTGATTTTTTAATTTAAAATTAGATTTAAATCTTTTTAAAACGATTTAAATCGTTTTATTGATTTAAATCTTTCTGAAATAATTTAAATCTGTAAAATGATGCTATCTTTTTAAAATGATTTACATTTTCTTAAAGATTTAAATCTTTTTAAAATGATTTACATCTTTCCAAAATGATGTAAATCTTTTTAAAATGATTTACATCTTTTCAAAATGATTTAAATCCGTAAAAATATTTATATCTATCGAAACACTTAAGAGACGAGAATCATCTGATTCGTCAAAATCGTTATCAACCTGTCCATTCCTGAATAATAATCTAGCCAGCGTGTCAGTAGGGTTGCCAACTCTGTGAATCAGAAATCTGGGAGAAAAGAAAAACAAAAAATAGTAAAGTGTAACAAATAATTGCAATAACTAAAGATTATTCTTAAGTATGAAATTTTACAATATTTTTGACCCGATATTTTTTTTGTAAAGTTGTATTTTTTTACACCGTAAGCAGCTGGAAATACTTTTTCATTATCGATAATCATAAAACTCTTCACATATGTATTTTAAATTTATGCACACTTATATTTCAGATTTGACATGAGTTGCATTAAGTCGATTTTGACTTTTTGACCAGTACAATAAACACGCTCGGCATAGGTAGAGCGAATTAAATATTTTTTTATTTCTTTGCCTGTTTCATCCACACATTTTTCAAAAAAATTAACCCAAACGCGCCTACTTTGGTTATTTATTTACTCGCAATAACTTCACGTACTTCTACTTTAATTATTATCATACAGTTTATCCTCATGTATTTATAGGCATGTTAAGAGAAAAACTCTTTTAATTCAACCCACTCAATTTCAGTATTCGTAGTTTAAAGATCCAGGATATTTTAGGTACATTCCTGGAGCTGGGAGATTTTGAAAATGAAATGCATTTTTCCGGGATAATTTCGGAATTCCGGGAGAGTCTCCTAAGTACAAAAAAACATATTTTTAAAGAGTCTGATGTATTTGCATCTATATGGAAAAAAATCACTTTTCTTAAATACTAGAGGTCTCCATTGTTTTGTGCCATCATAGGCATACCAAAATTATCTTGGGTTGAAAAATTCCTATTTACCAGATGCTTGAAGAAATATATACTGAATTTGGGCTTAACTTGTCTAAGATATTAGCTACAATTACAGACAATGGGTCAAACTTTGTAAAAGCCTTTAAAGAATATGGGATACAATTAGAAACAAGAGTTATATTAAATTCAATACCATCAAGTATTCAAATTGATGATGACGAGTATTGTGATACTAATGATAATATTGAATTGCAAGATGATGTTTTTCAGCTTGGTGAAGTAACAGGAAATGAACATGAACAACATATTTACTTGCCAAATCATTTTAGATGCACTACTCATACGTTAAATCTGATCGCTAAGATAGACATTATGAATTCCATGAATAAGAATCATAATATAAGATTTAAGCATAAACCATAATTAACAAGTGTACACAACTCTGGAATAAATCAGGACGTCCAAAATCAGCGGAAGAAATAAAAAAATATTAGGGCATCATCTTAGCTACCCTGGTGCCACTAGGTGGAACAGTTTCTACGACAAAATGAAAAACTTAATATCCTTTATGAATCATTAAATTTAAAACAATATGCCCTCAGAAAAAATGAGATATAATATTTGAAAGAATATATTGCCATCTTAAAACCCTTGGCCTTATCCATAGATATTCTCCAAGGAGAAAGGCATACATACTTTGGAACACTTATGCCAACGATTGGGAGTTTACATGTTAAATATGAAAAAATTAAAACACTCAACCCAAGACATCTTGGATTTTTAATTGACATATGCATTAAATCTATTGAAACTCGGTTTTCGATATATTTCGAGAATACTTCCCAATCAGAGATGGCGATAATAGCCACAACACTTTTACCAAAGTTTAGGCTAAGATGGCTAAATTCGTTTAAAAATACGAATTTTAGTCTTCAAGAGAATCAAGTAAAAAATATGGTGTTAAATGCACTAAAAGAATTTGTAAGTTTTGAAAACTATGCCACACGTGAAGTGATAGATGAAGAGGAAAATTAAGAATTTTTTTTTAATCAAGCTCTGTATTAGAAATATATACAGAAAAAGAACCACCGTCAGTTTCTCACGAATTTGAATTACAATTTCTACAGTACCTGCAGGATCCTTGCAATGATTTGTCCATATTATTTATAATTGTCAATCTAACATTTGTCGTTTATATTTTATAGTTGTTAAACTGTTGAATAAAGCCTTATATCGGTTTGTTCTTACAACAAGAATCAAAATAATGTGAAAAAAAGTACCTGAGTACAAGTAACATGAGTGACAAAAAACATCAAAGCAAGATTTACATCGTTCCAGATTATAAAACAGGAAAAAAATTAAATGTAAAACTAAACAAAACACAAGAAGAAATCAACTCAATGTCTTTTTAAAGCGTCTAATGTAAGTAAAATAATGTATTCATGTCTAAATATAATATTTATTGTAAACTAGTCACAATATGTATCTTACGAAGTGAAGTTTATTTAGTTACAAGTTTCTATAATGTAAAATTTTACAGTTATAGATGCTGACTTAGAAACAACAATAATTATGCATTAAATTTAACCTACTAGAAAAGAAAATTTATTTTTTATAGAGTTTTAATGTTAGATAAAGAGTTGCTGCTGTTACTTTTATTTTTTGGACCCCAATTGTGTCATTGTAAATGTTTTTTATAGGATACTAAACGTTTAGAACAGTGGCAGCATATATATTGTTCCTAGCGCCGATAAAGCACTTTCTAGAGATGATGCTGTTCTATACTTTTTAGAAGATATTATCAAATATTATGAGACCATGTTTACTGATGGTACTGTTAGCAAAATAAAAAAGGGGAAAGCTGAAATTAAAGGATAAGGTAATACCATGTACATTCCCAAATCTCCATTTATACTTGTATTACAACAATAAAAAATCTGTTAACTGCGTTTTATTTTACTCTTAAAACTATATATTTTTTGCCACAAAATTGTACTTATCAAATTTCAGCATTCAAGAAACCTTTTCGAATTTGGTCATACTTACCTAATTTGTATTTTATATAGATAAAATTAAATAATTTATAAATTAAAACATTTAAGACTTATTTAGAAATAAATACAACAGTATGTTCTGTGCTTTATTTAGCTATAAACAAGTTTATTTTTATTATTTTGACAAAATTATGAATAATTCCCGTAAGAAGCCATCTTTTTGAACAAGATTATGCAGTACCAGCGCCCATGCGGTTAATTATAGAAGCTCAATTAGCATGCGTTTTTTGGGACCGTATTTTGAGCATGTCGATTCGCCTCCTTATCTCTAGTCTTCATATTTGGGGGAAATGTCATTAGAAGATTATTAATCATCAGATTGGGTTGTCAGAATAATATAAGTTTGAATGATAATGTTAAAATTATGTAATTATGCTAGATTTTGTATGAAGGATAATTTTTTAAAAGAAATACAAAAAGGTAAAGAACGTTTTATTTTAAATAGTGAGAAATATTTTAAAGAACCAGTGATAGAGATAGAGAGTAGCAGATATGTGGGTTAGAGATGGGTTGCTTTTTAGTAAACTGCTATTTGACAACTGTTATTTGAACTAAGCAGCTTTCAACTGCTATCAGCTATTACAAATCGCTGCTTCTTAAATAGCAGTTTACCATTTTCACTAACATTTCGATTTCAGATACGCCGATCTTTGTGACTATGTTGTGAGTGCATGGTGCGCGTGATGCGACGATGACAATGGCAAGTTGCTGATGCGAATGTCGTATTTTATACGTGCCCTACGGATGTTTATGTTTTTCTGTACAATAACAGTTATGGTTAGACCAAAAATGCTGTGCCCTCTTACAAATATTTTCAGCAAATAAATTTGTTTTAAGAAAATAACTCACAATACAAAACTTACGTCAGAGAGGACGTGATGGCATACAAAGACTAATTTTTTAATTGTTACCATTCCCGTTGTCGTCGATTTATTCTGACAATTTGGGGAACCACCCGCACCGGTTGATATTTAACTCGACATTATAAGACAGCTTAACAGATTTGAACGCGATCACCGATCGACTAGTAAATAATGAAATACCGGTAAACACTTAAGCAGAGTAGTCGAACTACACGTTGCGATGATTTAATAAACTGCTATTAAAAAGCAGCTATTTGAAAGCTGCTTTTTAGAAAAAGCAGTTACTGTTATAACTGTTATTTAAAAATAGCAGTTTTGCCCATCCCTAAATGTGGGTACTACGAAGATATATTCAAGGAAGACAAGCAAATACAGGCAAAGGCGGTAGAGACAGTGGTATCACTCTTTATATCCTTACACGCAGTATTAGTCAAAGTCAAATTTATACATCAAATTATTCTCGTTCGCAAAAAATAGCTATTCGTTAAAATGAAAGAATGAGTTTTACATATTGGGTATTTAAACATCGGCTAGTCTCTTTTTACCCTCTTTTTACAGTGCGTCACTGGAGACCGGAAACACTTATCCGTCATTCAACCTTACACTCATTTGACATTTGGTTGGTTATCCTGTTTCTGTTTTTGACTTTGACAGAAGAAAATTAGAGCGGGAAATTTTACTTTATCTACGTTTACTACGTTTCGTTAAAAAAATTAACGTTGTTCGTTTTTGTTCTTCAGTTTTCAGCTCACCAAATGAATTGAAATACCTACATAACATGTATAAGTTTAATTAAAAAGTGATACACTTACATTTTGATAACAAGCAAGAAATAGTAAAAATGACTAGCACAAGATCTTCAGCAAGAATTTCCTTAAAATATAAAACAAAACCATTTGTTGAATTACACAGCTCATCTAAGACGTTTTATAATAGTTCTTCAGATGAAGAATCCGACTCAGAATCAGACTCGCCTTGTTCAACTCCGCGAAAAACGAAATTAAAACAAACTAATTTGGAATCTTCGCCACCCAAACAAAGTAAATTGGAAAGCACTTCAAGAAAGGTACAATCAACGGCGAACACTCCTTCTTTAGAAAGACTATCGCTTATTAGCCCAACGAAGTCTAATTCTGCAAGGAAAAGTTTATTGAAAGAAAACAACAACAGGAAGAGGTATGTAGCTAAAATTGAATCAACAAAGAAAACTAGAAAAATCGATACTAGTTCTTCTGAAGATTCAGAATCTGAAGACGATATTTCTAAAAATAAGACTATTTATCAGTGTGCTAGGCAGGCACTACATGGCAGTCTTCCATCAGAACTACCTGGAAGAGAAATTGAATTGAAGCAGCTAAAGGATTTTATAGAAGAGCATTTGAAAAATAAGGCATCTGGATCTCTGTATGTTAGTGGTCCCCCAGGTACCGGCAAAACAGCTTGTTTAAACACAATTATCAAAGAAAATGTGAGTTTTATTTTTGTTATCGTTTTAGTTAAAAATTGTCTCCATATAATATGTATTACATAACGTATTACTGTACAACTTTACCCAAACAGACTATGACATAAATACTGCCATGTTCCGAAAGAAAGCACTGTGTGCATTTTTGGCCAAAATGAGTTTTGGTGGTTTCAAAATAAGCTATGGTATTAAATCTATATAATAACTTAAATTCTTCATATTTTTATCTGAATAATAAGATAAAAACAGTTTAAAAAATTACGAATAATCTCTAATATTAAATTATTAAACATACAGCAAAAATTCAAGGGGTTATTTCCTGGACTTTTAATGATTTTTGAGAAGCCACTTAGTTTTGAAGATACAAGGCAAACATTTTTTTCAGGAATAATATTACCAAAAATTACAGGATTCTTGCATCCTAGTTGGAAGTAGACATTTTCAACAGTTCTTGTAGATTATGAAACTTTACATGTATTTTTGGCTATAAAATATTGTCGAAAAAAATTTCGCCCTGTATTTTCAAAACAATATGACTTCTCAAAAAGCATCAAATGTCAAAATATTCTTATAATAGTCCAGGGAACAACCCTATTGATTTGTCTACCATACCATCTCATGTATACAGGGTGGACCGGATTTAATTTGCATATACAGAGATCTCGTATACTGTAAGATATACATTGTCGGTTAAATGGGGAAAAAGTTTCGTATTTTGACGGATAATACAATGGTCCATAGAAGTTCCAGATTTTCTGACTGGTTCCAGAGATATTCAATAAAATCCGAAAAACCTCATTTTCGTTTTTTAAGTCGTGCATTATTATAAAAGATACAAAAAAAATATAGGAAGTTTTTGTTATAAATCAAGTTCCCTATAATCTGCTATGTCAAAAATTTTATTACGACGTTTCGTATTTGCAGGGCCACCTTCAACTTATTTTTATAAATACGGACCTGAATTTTTAACTAATTTTTTATAGCTTTTGTATAGCTAAATACAACGATATGTTACACTTTACCATTTTACTACGTTTCATCTATTAAAATATCATCAGCTATGTAGCTTCTGATGATACAGTTTCTTACTTGATAAAAACAAGATAGCTAATTAAATAATAATTAAAAAACAAAAAATGCCTAAAATGTGAAATTTTAAATATTATTTTTGACATGGCAGATTATAGGGAACTTGATTTATAACAAAAACTTCCTATATTTTTTTTTGTATGTTTTATAATAACAACGCACGACTTAAAAAACAAAAATGAGGTTTTCGGATTTTATCGAATATCTCCGGAACCAGTCAGAAAATCTGGAACTTCTGTGGACCATTGTATTATCCGTTAAAATACGAGACTTTTTCCCCATTTAACCGACAATGTATATCTTACGGTTTACGAGATCTCTGTATACTCAAATTAAATCCGGTCCACCCTGTATAAATGCAGCATTTTCCAATAATTTGACTCTTCATTTTATTTGTAATAGGGTCTCATTAAGAATGGGACACAGAACAACTCAAGATTCTCTGATTAAAAATAAGACTATTAATCAAATCATGCCTAGATAAAATATTACTGATTTCTCAAATAAAGTTGAAAATTTAAAAATTATTAATGGCTATCATTCTTTTATTTTTTAGTATAACATTACTAAATTCGGTAAACATTTTTGGTGTCATAAGGTACACCTATCAGCAAAACAATCAGTTAAATAAACTTTGCCAGGGCGTAAGGCACGGATAAGTAACACCTTCACATCTCCTAAATTTTACCCCACTTTCCAAAAACTTATTTGGACTATAATTCTGAATGTTTTTGTTTTTTAAATAAATGTACTATTGTTAAAAATTTATAAAAATCCAAAATAATAAAATAAATTAAAATGAAGACAATCCACCTATGAGTGTGAATATCTCGAAAATCAATCGCTTTGAGTTTCCAACAAGAGTACATGATTTATTTAAAAAATATCAAAAAATGTAAAAAGTATAGCCCAAATAAGTTTTTTCGCTTAAAATTTAGAGAGGAAGAAGGTTTTACTTATTCGTGCCGTTCGCCACTGGCAAAATTTATTTAATTGATTGTTTTGCTGATAGGTGTATTTTATGACACCAAAAAAATTTACAGAATTTAGTAAATTTATACTATTAGCTATTAATAATTTTTGATTTTTCAACTTTAACAAAAACATCTAAAAATATCGATAGTTTGCATGTAACATTATTTGCTGACAAATCCACTATATTTATAAAATATTTTTATAACATCTGGACATGTCACATCCCACTTGACTACTGTGTGTTAATTTGTTTAAAAAACGTATTTGATTAGTTTAATCAATTAAATTAAATTTTTAGGTGAAATTTAAATTAGCTCATGTATATATAAATTGTACAGCAATCAAGTCACCTACTGCAATTTATTCAAGAATTATAAAAGAACTCAATCTTAAACCAAATGGAAAGACTGAAAAAGATCATTTAACGCAAATAGATAAATATTTAAGAAAACATCATAAACCAGTGTAAGTAATTGAGTAATTAATATATTCCTGCAATGGACCTACCCCATTATTGATCTCTATTATTCATGCACAAATCCTACTTCCTTCTAAATACATCAAAATTTGTTGTCGTTATGTTTCCTATCCGAGTTCCAATTACAAATCCGATAATGTTTTTGCATTTGATATTGAGTATTTGTATTTAACTTCTATTAGTCAGTGACAATTTTAGGTGTGTTATTTGCTAATGGTGCAAATTTACCAATATTACATTCATTCTTATCTTGTAGAACATGGAAATACTTTGCTGCAGTCCCTGTAGTGACGGAGTACTCGACGACTTCTTAAAAAAATACGTGTGGCACTCGGGGACTGCCGCGGTAAAGCTATTGCATAGCATTTTTTATCAACTTATGCAATTATAATTATTTATTTTATTTATGCAGTATTTTTTTTCTTTGATATTAATTCAAGTTTTTTCTTTGATATTGTAACGAAAGTCTATAATTTATTTAAAGTTTATTTATTTAAAAACACACTATTTACAATTTATTTTAGACGTACTATTTAATTTATATAATATTTGAACACTAACTAACAATTCTAATTTATTTCTTACACTTTTACTTTTCAATACAACGTTCTATATTAAACTAAACTCGGCGCTGATACATCGTCTATTTATATTAGTCTAACTCCGCTACTGGAAAATGCTAGAGACTTCGCGAAGATGACTAAACGGCACTCCCCCGCCATTCCAGATGTTTCGAGTGAATCAGCGGCAGACATTCGAGAGCGGTCCGGCTGTTTCCACACGTCAGCGTTGCTTCGGTCACGAGTTGATTGCGTGCGTATACAGGGTCGGCTTAGGAATTCATGACATTGCTCCCTCCTTAAGAAATAGTTCCTCCTGGAACTAAAATTGAATGGTTGTATTTGCAACTGGATCCTCTTTTACAATTTCCAGTTGCATGGAAGTAACAAGGCACAGTCTTCGTTATAACCTGAACGCTAGGAGAATGGCTGCAGACCAGTATTTCAACCTGAGTATCTTGAAAGATTACTTCCACCATGTTTCTAATGATCCTCCAATTCAGCTGGTTGCTCTCCATCTTTGGCATAGCTAGTTTCTGTACATTGGACTCCAGTACATGCTCCCTCAAACTGAGTAATGCTTCCCATACATCCTGATAGGTGGATCGATCTCGGAAGGTGTTCTTTGTTACCAAATAGATAAGATAACGCGATCCATCTAGAAGTTTTAATGCTTTTCCAGGGGCTGGTAACTGATCTTGAAGTTCTGGAAATCGACCAAACTTCTTCTGGAATACAGATGCCAGACCTCGAGCGTCGTAGATGTTGGCGGAAGTGCTATGGACCAGCGAGTAATCTTTTGGAACCATGAGCAGGTATTGTTGTTGCTCAGTTGTAACACCATGTCTTGCTTTTCCGGTACCTCCATATGCACCCATAAATTCTTCAAAGACAAGGTCAGGTGTTTCTTGGAGCTGGTTTACTTCTTCTTCCTCTTCATGGTCACCCTCAAATGGCGCCAGCCGGTTTTGGTGCACTACCCTTGGTTTACCGTTCGGGATCTTACTTATACGGTAAATAATATCATTGATTCTCTTCTTGATGAGATACGGACCCTCCCAAGACCTTTGAAGCTTCGGAGAATAACCCTTTTGTCTTTTTGGGTTATGGAGCCAGACTTTGTCGCCTTCCTTGAAACCTCCCTCCATGGCTTGGGTATCATATCGCTTCTTCATTCTGTCGCTGGCGATTTGAAGTGTTGTGAGCGGACCAATTCATGCATATCGTCCATTCTTTTTCGTAACTGGATCACATAATCTTCACCAGCTACATCTTCTCCAGGTCGGCATCGAAACTCAAGGTCGCACGGTAGTCTCATCTGACGCCCAAACAGGACCTTTGCTGGTGTTTGGCCTGTTGATTCATTGACAGCGGATCTATATGCCATTGCAAAGAGCGAAAGATACTGATCCCAATCTCATTGATGGTTTGAAACCACTTTTGACAGATATTTTCCAATGGTCTTATTCATTCGCTCTACCATTTCATCAGATTGTGGGTGCAGTGCTGTGGTTCGGGTTTTCTTCATGCCTAGCCTGTCACAGATTCCACGGAAGAGTTGGCTTTCAAAATTTCTGCCTTGGTCACTGTGGATCTCCAAGGGTACTCCAAATCGACAGATAAACTCTCTTATCAACACATCTGCAACAGTTGCGGCCTCTTGATTTGGAATGGCGTAGACTTCCACCCCACACCTGACACCAATGTAACGAAAGTCTAATTTATTTAAAGTTTATTTATTTAAAAACACACTATTTACAATTTATTTCAGACGTACTATTTAATTTATTTCTTACACTTTTACTTTTCAATACAACGTTCTATATTAAACTAAACTCGGCGCTGATACGTCGTCTATTTATATTAGTCCAACTCCGCTACTGAAAAATGCTAGAGACTTCGCGAAGATGACTAAACGGCACTCCCCCGCCATTCCAGATGTTTCGAGTGAATCAGCGGCAGACATTCGAGAGCGGTCCGGCTGTTTCCACACGTCAGCGTTGCTTCGGTCACGAGTTGATTGCGTGCGTATACAGGGTCGGCTTAGGAATTCATGACAATATTCAAGTTACACTTTTTGAGTGTGGTGACCGATAAGAAAACAATTTTTTTTCTTTTATTGAATAAATGAGAAGTTAATATTGTTTAAAATATTTTTATTATCTTACAATACATGTAGGTTATTCAGGAATTTTTATCATTGAAACTATAGGTCTATGGTAACTGAAATAAGAAACATAAGTTTGAGACTTGATATCCTCTAAATATCTGGAAAATACCGCGTCAATGGTGGTCCCATATTTTGTTGTGGATTCTTGTGGATCATTATCGATTTTCAAATTAAATTTTTCCGAAATTGTGTCTAAAAGAGATAGAATCAGTTATGAGCAGTTAGTAGCGTCTACACGCATACGTCTAGTCGCACGCACACAAACACCGTGCCGAAGTCTGCCGAACTGAAACGACGTTAGACGATGCACGGCTTTCAACGCCGCACCGCTGTGTCGGTCGAAGTGGGGGGTGTTAGGTTTATTTTCGTAACGGAATTTCTTGATTCGGTCGCCGCGCTCAAAGCCCGTGATAAAAGCTATGCAATAGCTTAAAGGCCTGTATAGAAAATGTCATAAAAGTTCAAGCTTGAAACTTTAAGATATAATTTACATCAAAATTTAATAATAAAAATTTTGGTGCCATATTCTTGAAATTTGGCTCACACTACCTTGCTCGTTGCCAGGGCATTCCACCGCCAAATCGATTGCATCAAACGATTTTCAATAATAACATCCCGGACTCGATAGCCATAGCTTAAGATCTTATTCTTTGGACAATTTTAAGACGAAAATGCCTTATAATAAAAAAAAACGTCAAAGATTTATTTACTTACTTAAATTTAATATTTCCAATAACGCCTTTAATAAAAATTGAATTTAAGAAAAAAAGTGCATAAGGCACTTTGGACTTAAAATTGTCCAAGGCATACGATCTTTAAACCATGCACATCGAGTCGCCAGCCACCCTGTTTATTATTCTGTCACAGAATAAAAAATTAGCCTTGCTTGAATACAACATATTACAATAATTTCATTTTCCAAACTTGAAGGTTTTCCACCACTACCAAGATGACAGCAAACATTTTCTATTAACTTTTGATGGAAATAGCTGAAAGTTTCGAGCTTGTGCTTTTATATTAGCATTTTCTGCATCGACTTTTTGAACACGTCGTCATTCGAGCACTCCACTGCTGGTGCGTCTGCAGCAAAGTATTTCCGTCTTTAAAAAAGTACGTTTATTGTCTAACAGGTTTAAACCCTTTTACAAGACAATGCTAAGTACAAAAATATTTATAAATATAAATTAGTATACTTTTGAAGTAAAAGTGAAAACAAAATAACCATATTATTAAATTTCAAGTTACAATAGGTACATTTCAGTGGCGTAGTTATAGTAGGGCAGTTTGGTGAGCTCTGATAATTATATAATATTTTATTGTATTCAAATTCATAATAATTTTAAATATTCATGTTTTTAAATGGCTAAAAATTATATCTCAAATACAAAATATTTTCAATGGAGATTGTTAGAGCCTACTTTGATTTCTACTGAATTTTGTTTCTTTAAAAATTAGTATCGTATTAAGAAGCAAAATTTTTTAAATATGGCATAGATTTCAACTCCAAATTCCAGAGGAACTCTGCTGGCTTCATTCGAAGGAAAAAGGACTATAAAATTTGTGAATTGGATATAAAAATAAATCTATCTTTCTTGACATAGGTCAACTCAAAGTTCTCGACGTGCTCTGCTGCCTTCCTAGGCAATTTGTTTGACCTGTTTTTATGTTTAGCAGTGTCTTTTGTTTGGTACCTATTAGAATAAATTCTATACTTACTGTATTCGGCCTTTTTTCCTCTAGTAGTAAAAGTGATCGTCTAGTTAATTAATTGATAATTTATATACCCACGTTGTGATAATGTTAATTAAAGTAAACTAAGATTTGTTGCAAAGTTTGGTGCAAATTGATAAATAAAACCATAAATCATATTTAAACCTTTTTGTTTTTTCATTCTTTAAAGGTAACTCAATAACTTGCAAAGTATATTAAAAAGGGTACTATTTACTTAAAAAAAAGGAAGGAGAGGGGGAAGAGGCCCCATCACCACCCTCGTAACTAGCAGGAGTGGATGAGAAAGGATTTTCTATTCTTTCTTGAAATTTTAATTTACAATTGTATTTCTTGCGTTACAATTACGTTGTTCATAGTCCACTAGTGGTCCGCTGTGTTCTTTGGCGTTGGGTGGAGAGCAGGCTTGGCTAATGCCATTCTCAGCGGGGTACCTTGTTAATTAACCCCCGGTTCCACCTGAGTCTCGTTGAAACGCAGACCATATTCATTTGCTATCAATATATATTTGTTAGGTTGATGACCAACGGAGTTAACGAACAGCGCCAATTCGCCAGTTGATTAACTACTGTGTTGATGTTGATTTAATTCTATTCTAGATATACACAGGTTGCCCCCTCTTAGGTAAATATTTCGATGAGTATAGAGGTGATGATCAACGGAAGTAACGAACAGCGTCAATTCGCCAGTTAATTACCTTACTATGTTGATTTCACATATACTTTATTTCAAACCTAGTAGAACGGGTTGCTTAGCGTATAGGTGTCCTCCCCTTGAGCTAACGAACAGCGTATTTGCAAGTTGGTTAAATTACTATTAAACTTTACCATCTTGGTTTGTACAATTTATCCAAGATAGCACATCCCTGTATATTTCCAAAATATTGCTTTTTATAATTTCTATTGAAATGACTTAATATAACTCTGTATATTTCTTAACATTGAATTTTATAATTTCTATTGAAATTACTTAATGCAACCCTGTATATTTCTTAATATTGATTTTTATAATTTCTATTGAAATAGATGTTATCCTAAGTATCTTTCAGGGTGTATGACCTGAAGGCCATGTGGTTTATTGTTTACATTGATAATATTTTAAGCAAATGTCAGGCTCTGCATTTAAACGAGACCCCGGTGGCATCTCAAAGACAGTTACATAAACCCTTTTGACTCACCATTGAAATTACAGACATTTGGGTCGTCTAAACTAGACATTATGTACGTCGCAGCGTTGAACGTCAAGCGTCGTGACGGGGAGGAAGGTATTTATTTCGTGACTGTGTCAGGACAGATATATGGTAGGAAATACTTAGGTGGTGAGGGACGTGACGAAGGGTGTCGATAAGGATATTTTGAAGGAAATATTTAGGGGCGGCAGGCGTCGAGAAGTAGAGCGATGGGACGTTGAACGTCGGAATGAATGTAAGGTAGGAAATACTTAGATGGTGCGGAATGTGACAGCATTCGATATGTAGGAAGTAGGGCGTTTGGACGTCGAGACGTTGGGCGTCGGGATGAATATAATGGCAGGAAATACTAAATGGTGTTAGAAGTGATATCGTTGGAACGTCGAAAGGTAGGGAAGTAGGACGGAGAGACGTTGGGCATCGAAAGGTAGGGAGGTAGGACGGAAAGACGTTGGGCGTCGTGACGTTGACACCTTTGGGAAATAGGAGGTATTGTGGGATAGACGTCGTTTAGGAAGAGCGTTTAGGAAAGGTAAAATGTAAAATAATAAAATGTATGCTTGCACATCCTTTTGGTCAGACTTTTTATACTAAATTTTAATGGCTTTTGTGACGTCTCTATCGTTTTAGTTCTCATCGAAAATACGAATGTGGGCGCAAAGGGGGTGGGTTATTTATTACTTGTCTTGAAAGCTTTGTGTATTGAAATATTGTCGAAATCGGCCTTGACATCGAAACTAGAAATATAAGCGAGTTAAGTGTTTTAATGATAATTACTTCGTGAAAGAAATATGTTTTATGGTGTTTTCTTTCTCTAGGAACTCAGCCACGTGCACAAAATTTGGATCTTTTACGGACGTGGTTGTAGCTATTATTTATTAGGTGTCGTAAATAAGATTTAATTATCTGAGAGATTTTTCGTTAAATGAAGGATTCTGAATTTAATAAGAATGCAATATTGTATTCAATAAATGGAATTAATAAATAATTAAGGTATCTGGGTGCGCTAGGTTACATCTTCCATTGTGTTTAATTAATTAAGACACTAAAAACAGGGTCTAGAAATAAACAATACATTTAAAATAAATTTTGTATGAAGGTATATTTGTCTAACTATAAATATGACATGTTAGAAGTCAACGTGTTAAATTATATCTTGGGTCAGAATAGCTCCGTGGTTGTAGATATTTTTTATATAAATGGGTCGAGATAGAATAATACATTTGGTTTAGGAAGGTGTTTGGTCTAAATTCTTTAATTATAAATTTGTTTTTGTTGTATATACTTCAATATTAAGAAAGTTTGATAAGGATGCTCTATTGAAAATGCTTAGGGGCAGAACAGTTCGGAGCTATTTTATTCCAATAGAACAAAAACAAAGTTTATAGTATATTTTTGTGAGTGATATTTTGTTATAACATGTAACTTTATTTTTAGATTACTTGTGCTTGATGAAATTGACCAATTGGAATCAAAAAACCAATCAATACTGTACACCATTTTTGAATGGCCTTCAAAACCAAATTCCCAACTCTTACTAATAGGCATTGCTAATGCCTTGGATTTAACGGATCGAGTTTTACCAAGGTTGCAGACACGTTGTGAACTTAAACCACGATTAATGCACTTTGCACCATATACTAAGCAGCAAATAATAGAAATTGTTACTTCAAGACTGAGATCAGCTGGCGTTTTGGAAATATTCTCGCCGTCAGCAGTCCAGATGCTAGCTGGAAAAGTAGCCTCAGTTTCAGGTGACGTCCGAAGAGCTCTAGATATAGGAAGACGAGTTATTGAACTTGCTGATCAAAGTAAAAATAACGGAGCCCTTAAATCGGTAGAAAACTTAGCAAATCAACTTATTGAAGATGAGATGAAGACTGTAGATTTGAAGCAAGTTTTAACCATTTTAAATAATGTCTACAGCACTACTCAAAGTCTCGATGAAAATTCAGAAGACTCATTCCCACTACAACAAAAAATTATAATTTGTTCTCTACTTTTAATGTTGAAAAATGTTAAAAACAAAGATATAACAGTGGGAAAACTTCACGAAGTGTACAGGAGAGTTTGCGATAAAAGAAAAATTAGCTCTGTTGATCAAGCAGAATTTGTAGGGTTGTGTTCTCTCATTGAAACACGGGGTATAATACATATTAATCGTAAAAAAGAACAAAGATTAAATAAAGTTGAACTTATGTGGGATGAAGAAGAAGTAAGGGGCGCATTAAGAGATCAGCAGCTGATTTCTGAAATTTTACGGGATGAAAATTGTTTGGGAAAATTGTAATGTTTCAAATTCTTTTTAAATGAATTTCAATGTCTATATTTTTTATACATCAACAAAGCTGGGATTTTTTAAATACACTTTTATTATTATGACAAATAACTAAGTTTTATTAGTTTTCATTTTTAAAATAATTTTTAACTACTCTGATATTTATTTAAATAAAAATAAATTATTTTAAAAAATGCATTTTATTTCACCTCATGTTTTCAATCTCTTGAATCTGAAAATTCGTCTAACCAAAAATAATACAATAATTTTATTAAATTTGCTTTCGTAAGCAGCTTTTGATAAGACCATAGAAAGAGTAATTTGAGAGGTTTTTGTTTAATATGACTATTATAGTTCATAAATACTCCCAGGTCATCATTGTAACAACTCTATAATACAGGATATACTACTCTCTTTAAGAATGGTACGAAGATTTTCTGATTAAAAATAAGACTGTCAAACGAAACATGTTTAAATGTTACTCGTTTCCGAAATACAGGGCGTTAAAAATTAATAATGACTATATATTTTTTAATTTGTATGAAAAATATCGATTAGCAGATTTTTTCGTACTTGACAGGTTACACTACAGCTCCCACCACCGGGACATAGTACATGTTCACGCCCTCCCCTGTACCCAACTACAAACAGCAAGCAAAGAACAGGACATACCACTTTTGCAGTCAGATGAGGGTTAACAAGAAATTGCATAGTTCTTGAGGATGCTACTTTGCTTTCATGATTATTATTCGAAAATACTATTTTTATGTTCGAAAAGCAGTAAAGGGGTTGACAGTATCGTCATTGATTACACTACAATTAGGGTTGAGGTGGGCAAATTAATCTATTAATTTTTTAAAAAAATCAATTATTTTCGATATTTCATCGAATATATTCGATTTTGAATAATCGATTTTAAAGTAGAATAAAAAAATAGATTTTCTTGTGAAAAAAAAGTTTCTTTCTATTCAAGCTTCCAGTGTTCTATCTGAAGAAGTATGTAGCAAAAGGGGTCAAATAGTAAGTGATAGAGCGTCATAAAGTGGGGAACATTGAATATCTTGTTTTTTTGACTGAATAAAATTTATTAACTTTCATAATACTGTTATTTTTTATTAACATTTTTAAAGATAATTTTTTGATTGCAGGTCTAAAACTCCAAAATAAACAAACATATTATTTTAAAACAAGTCAGTTGGGAGTGGCAACTTTTTACTTTTAGATTATATACAAAAAACATTTTTTTTAGTTTATCAAATAAGATATAAGTTTAAAAATCAATTAATCGAAAGTAATCGATTTTCTAATTGATTATATGAAAATAATCGATTAAGCGAAAATAATTGAGAATCGATTATTTTTTTGTTAATCGCCCAGCCCACGGTTGTCAGTTCAACACTTAAGGTAAAGAAGGCCTTGCCCAGCTCTAATTACAACCATAGAAAAATTACAACTTACAACACGTTTGACGACGGTGGACATAGCCATTAGTAAATGGATCATATTTTGTAGGAGAAATAACCAATCAAATAATTACTGTTTGGTAGTTTTTAAACTACAAAGAAAGTAATTCGTTGGTTACATTTGTGTATTTATAAGTGTAGCAGTCAAAAGACCTTTTTTAAGTAGCGAAATTTATGACTACAAATATGTAATTTTTATAAAACCGATTCAATTAAGTGCATTGATTATTTTTTTAAAATTGGCGTCGTGTTCGCTTAATTTTAAAAGGCTGAAATTCGGTTTTAAAACACATTTTTGCAAAACCGATTTTCACGAGGCAATATGGCTGCTCCGCAATGCGACATTCAATGCGACCCGCTTTGAGCAATCTATATAACTATATAGCATTGACCCCATAGATAAATTAATATAAAACAAGATGAATTTATTAAATGCCCGCCACTGTCAACACGGCGTAGTTCCCAGCATACTATTAGTTAGCGCCACCATCGCAATAGTATGAAAGCGATGTTGCCGGTTTCCGTAAACTTTCATGAGATGATAGTTATTTCAAATTCATTTTATTTTAATTTTTTATCAATCTACATGCGCACCATGCCATCCATACAATGTCCATACTATTACTGAGATTTTTAAAAGACGGGATTGACAACCTTGTAAAAAATGAAACACGTGATGGCGGAAGGCGGGATATGATGATAAAATAAAACTTATTTTTATTTTATGATGTAAGTTACATAGGTAGGTAAGTTATTTTTAGGTTAAGAAACAAACGGTGCTGATTTGATGTAATTAGTAAGTATTAACTTTAATTTAATATTAAGTATTTAAGGACTTTGTTTATCATTGTTTTCTTAGCCTTAACGATATATAGGTATCTAATTTCATATTTCAACAATTCCTTTTCTAATATTTGAAACAAAAATGTCTGGCCCGGGTATAGTTAAGTATTCTTGTTCAGCTCCTAATTGTTTAAATAAGTATTATTCTAATATTCAGCAAGTTGGTTATTCAAATAAAGCATTTTTTCATTTTCCTTGTGATGTTAAAGTTCGCCAGAACTGGTTTAAGAATTTAAATTTAACTTTAGATGATAATAATACTCGCTATCTTTGTGAAGATCATTTTTTGCCAGTCTTCTGGTAAGGTTTCCTCAAAACGTAAACGACTAGTTGTACATTCTGTACCAATTTCTTTAGATAATTATGCATCCAGTTCAAATATACAACCCGAGAGCCAGATTTCAGAATATATTGAGGCTGAAGCACAAACACAGCAGCATAAGATAGATTTGCTAATCAGCAACGAAAATCAAGAAATTAGTTGCAAACGTAAACTAAATATTAGTGATGTACAATTTGAACAACCCTCCAAACGGAGAAAAACTGTTTTGCAACAAATAAATGAAAGTAAAGTCAAAAATTTAAGTCCCAAAGAGAAAAAGCTGTATTTTATTAATAGAGAACAAAACGTTAGAATTTGTAAGCTAAAGAAAGCTCTACGTGTTTCCAAAAATAAAATCAAGAAAGCCTTTGAATTATCCAAAACTCAGTTATTTTCAGATTTTAATAATAAATTAGATCCGATTGGAATTAAATTCTTTAAAAGTAGTTTAGAAAATTGTAAGAGAAAGAAACCCTCTTGGACCACTCAGAATAAAATTTTTTCTTTAGCATTATATAAAAATGGTCCAAGAGCATATAATTTTTTAAGAAAATGCATTTCGTTGCCTAGTAAATCTACCATCAAACAAATTTGAAGTGATTTACATTTTGAAACGGGGATAAATGATTCAGTGTTTTCCAGATTTAAAGAAATTGTTAGAAAAATGCCAGAAATTGATAGGAATTGTATTTTAATGTTCGACGAAATAGCTCTAACCGAAAAACTCACTTTTGATACAGTTAATGACAAAATTGTTGGATATGCGTTGACTGTGTCGTTCTCAATCTTCGTCAAATAATTAAAAATAACTTAGTTTTATAAAAATGGTCAACATTTTGATAAGAGAAATTGTTCAATAACATATATGTACACTTTTTGTTTTGTTTTTATAGGAAACACCTGACGCCCATCAAAGTATGGTCCATTTTTACAAGAATGTGGGGAAACTAGTATTCATTTCACTTACAATTGTTCTTTATTAACACATTATGTATGTATTACTGTATAATAAATAATTTAAATATATTTGTCTTATATTTTATTTCAGTGTAAATATTTTTTGTCTACATTTTTTGGGGTTTTATAACTAAAAAAAAACTAATATATATGTTAAATACAATATTTTAATATAAATATTAGTTTTTCTTTTTAAAGTAATGAACCCCAAAAAATATAAATAAATAAATAAAGATATTTAAATGAACCGCGGTTACGTTAACACTCTTCTTTTTTTATGCCTCTTACTGACAAATCAATCAGCCAGTGTAGTTCAAAAAAGATCCGTTCCATACTAATTCGCAGCACTACGTTTCCAAAGATTAACACAGAATCCGACCATCTTCTTTATTAGTTTATCTATGATTGACCCTGTCAAAGCCGGATTGTGGCCGGATTATAACCTCAAAATTTGACAACCCGTAAGCCGTTGGCCTTTGAATTTTTGATTTTATTAACTAGAATTAGAAATGATGAGAACTCTTCAAGACTTTCAACTACCTATCGATGGAGAAATTTCATTGTGCCAAATAAACGGTCGAGTATTCTCTAGAAATTATGATATTGCTAATTTAAATGCTTTTACAAATACAGTAAGTATATATAACTTTCTTTTAACATGACAGTATTTGTGTATATATTTTATTTTAGTTAGAACACTACCCTAAAATCCATATTACAAGTGATTTATTGCATCCTATAAGTTCAGGTGATGAAGGGAAGGCTTTATTTTTACCAGTCGATGTATCTTTTCTAAAACAATTAACACAAATATATTATGAACAAGGGTCTATTGAAGCCTTGCATACAGCTTCTACACATAACCATTTTCTCATCTCAAAGTCTGCAAAATTAGCATTAGGTTTATTAAAATATATAAGAAAAGTGAGATTATTATTAAATCCAAACTTGAGATATAGTGGTCCTGGTTTAATTAGCAATTTTTCACAGTCGAGAAATTGGTTAAATACTACAGTAAGATGTATTGCTTGGCATCCTTATTGTGCAAAAGTAGCTGTAGTGACTTGTGATGACAGTGTAAGGATTTTTAATGGAGATGTTTGTGTTGTGTCACCATTGTTGAGGTGTAAACAACAAAAACATATTACTTGTGTAGCATGGAGACCATTGTCTAATACTGAGATTGCTGTAGGCCATGAAAGTGGGATAATTGTATGGAATATTGACCCCAATTCTTTGGTAAGAAAATAGCTACTAATTTAATTTGCTACATATTGTTTTTATAATTAAAATATGAGGCTTGTTGATAATATTTTATAGCATTTTCCATTGGTATGAACTGAAGTTGTATGGTGATTGATCCTGGAGCACAAAAATATTGAACCAGTCCATTGTCAATGAAACACATTTTCTTTTCAGATTTCAGGCAAACCAGTATAATAAAAATTAATACAATATTTGTAGTTTCCATAAAACTTTAATTTATAATAAATAGTCTCTTTAAATTTAGATATAATTATGTTAAGTCTGTTTAGAGAGCCCAAAATACCTTCTGAACTAAAAAACAAAACAACCTCTAACTCTCACCTCTAATAATGATGATGCTAACTTTGTTTGAGTCATGCGTGTCGATTTTGCACTGCATTTATTTCACGATATCTTGAGATCCTGCTAAAAAAATCCCCTAAGTAAGTTTTAGTACACCAGTTTTCCAATGGGAAATAAAAAACTAACAGTGTTACCAATGGATCACAAATCTCTTGCTGAAACTGCCTGATTACCACCAATGGAAAATGCAATTAGTCTACAATGTAAAATTTATTATATTGACATGATTTTGTGACAAATAGCTTTTGGAAACAAACTATTTTTAAGAAGTTACAACATGGAAACTTTAAAATGATTTTTGAGATGTTTTTGAAATTAAAAGTGGTTAACAGTATAAAAATTATAGGTAGCAAGACCTTCTATTAGCAATGCAATAGTTTTACAAAGAACTGATCATAGACCTGTTATGAGCATAGCCTGGTCCCCCAAAGGAGATAAACTAGTAAGTGTAGCAGCTTGCGACAGCACTATTTACATATGGGATGTTGAATTGGACAAAACTAGTGTTTTAAAAAGATCTGGAGGATCAGGGAATACCCTTGTTAAGTGGTCACCGACAGGAGAAAAATTATTTACATGTACAAATAGCCTCGTTTTTAGGTAAGGATGTATGTTTGAGGCTGTGATAAATGAAGTCAAATATTGTTTAATAGAATAAAATTGCCCTTCGGGAGTATCTAATAGGCATATTTCCTTTGTTATATTTTACAATGCTTTATATCTAGTCTTTATTTCATGCCCTAAATCAGTCAGTATATAAGTTTATTGTCAAAGCTACAACTTATATACAACACATTCAAATAAAAAATTTTAACTTCTGGAACATCCAGGTGTCTATATATCTGTAAGGTGGGTAAAGTTGGTTGCCCTACAGCACTTAGGCCTCACTTGCCATTATGTATCCTCCAGGGGCATATAGGACCTGCCTCTCATATTGTCAAAAAGCCCCTATTATTAGTGTCCGTGGAAGATATTCTGTAAAAGCTTTGGTGTAGCTAATCTAACCTCATGATCCCCAGGGGTAGGTTTTCAACTTCTGGAACATGCAGGTGGAAACATGCAGGTCTCTATATGACTTGTCTGTGTGGTTTCAAACATTTAATAAAATAAAGGAAAAATAATTCCAAAACTCCAATCTGATCAAGATGTAATTGAAAAGACTAAATACTTCAAGTGCGTGTTACAAAAATAGACATTCTTGCTTTCAATCTCTAATGGAAGCTGTAAGGTTGGTTGAGTGAAAATCAGATATTAGAGATTGGAAGTGAGATTGTTTATTTCTTGCTGAGTCATAATAAGGATAAAACTGGTCCAAGAATTATATTCTCCTTAGTAAGCAAAATCAAAGATAGATTGTTGAAAACTATTTTCTGTCTCTACTGTTTTTTCTCTAATTATAATCCAATGCCTGGCGGTCGTTCGTTAATTTCTGTGACTCGGACATTGAGTTTTTATTGTTTTTATAAACATTTAATGTTTTCTGTAGTAGCTAATGTTTAGAGGGTTCCACAAAAGTTATGTAAAGAGTGTAACATGCTCTATATTTAGATGTAGTCCAACGTTAAATAAAGGAAATAAATTGTATTTTTTATTTTCAGAGTTTGGGACTGCCGTAACTGGGAATGCGAGCGTTGGACGGTACTCAGTGGCCGTGTTCAATCATCCTGCTGGTCAAATTGTGGTACTACATTGCTTTTTACCACAAACATAGAACCCATCATCTATGGTGTCATAGTAAAAAATGATTTGATCTTTACATCAGATTCTGACAGCTCCTCTAACCAAGCCTTACCCATGTTTGATACTTGCAAAGTCGACATAGATGGCGTTATCGTGGGTGGATTAGTACAGTGCATGGAAAGCGATCCAAAAGGAAAACATTTGGCCGTTATGTTCCAAGATACCGACTGCATAGCTGTGTTTAATATTATAAGGCAACATGGATTGCAGTTGATTGCCAGGTGAGAAAATGATTAAATATTTCCAGACTAACATATATTTCTATGAAAAACCTAAGGTATAATATGGTCAAATAACTATTTTATAATAATATTATTAAATAGACAACAAATTATACCTTATACTGTGACAGGCTTCTGGTTCACCTACAGTGAATCAGCGAGTTTGTGTGGCGCTATGAAGGTGATTCCCGAATAGGGGTTGCTCAGGCGCCAGTTTTGGTATCGCAATTTGCTCTGCGACCCTGTGGTACACCAGAGTGTACTCAAGGTAAACTCAGTGGAGGTAAAAATAATTCCAGGCGGTCACTGCTAGGTAGCCACTATACTAGAATAAATAAAAATAAAACACTTATCTCCTTTACACCTCGTACCCTACGGTACCCTGAAAGAAAACGGTTAAGAACCAGCAGTAAGAGAACCACAGGAATAGGTAATAAAATATATATTTACAAAAAAAAAAAAATACAACGGTAATTAAATATGAACGGCTCCCTGTAATCGAAAAATGTATTAAAAATAAATTATTACACTTGACAACTAATTAAATATTAACGGCTCCCTGTATTCGGACAATTTATTAAAAATAAATTATTACACTTGAAAACTAATTAAATATTAACGGCTCCCTGTATTCGGACAATTTATTAAAAATAAATTATTACACTTGAAAACTAATTAAATATTAATGGATCCCTGTAGTCGGAAAATTTATTAAAAATAAATTAATACAATTGAAAACTAATTAAATCCCTACATTCGGAAAATTTATTGAAAATAAATTATTATAATCAAAAACTATTTAAATCGGAAATTATGTACACCCGGTATATGGAAGGTATGTTTTCGTCGAGTGAAAATCATGTGAATTTATGCGGTGTTTGGACAGCGTAGGCGACGATCGTAGAAAATAATATTTTGATATTTGCCCAGAGTCGATCGAGACGGTGTGTGAATTAATTTTACAGAAGTCGTCTGGCTTCGTTCAATAACTAATTGTGGACGGGGAACGGAATGATTCAAATACAGCTGAATAAAAAAAAATAAAAGAAGAAATTTACATGAAGTGAGGCGCGAAAATTAATTTAGACGTCTTTTTGAGAAATTAGATAACGTCGTCAGGAGAGAGATCACTCTAATCCGGGAACGGATCGAACCTCTGAAAAAGAAAATAAAATAAAAAAAATTGAAAACCGGTTGAACCTCTCATTTCAATGTTAACTGGGCGGTTTCTAAGAGAAATTGGATATAGTCGTTGACAATGAGAGCACTCAGAGCCTAGCCTATGTCCAGCCTCAAATAAAAATTGCCAACGGTATCCCACTGAGGGATGAAATGAAATATCCTGGATATGAATCAAAATTTTTCACTTGTTCGCACGGGTGTCCCAACTAATTATATAAAAGTCAATAAAAAATAATATGCGGTTTCCTACCTTAGAAAAAATAAACGGGGTTAATCAATGATCTTTCGAAATCACGGCACTCACAGAGTATTTCACTAGACACTGTAGAAGGGCGAATAGTTTTCAGCTGTCGGCAATCAATTTATGCTTTTTAAAAATTAAAAAAATGTCCTTCTAGTACCTTGACAAATAAAGGTAGATAATTGGTACGAAATCGACTCTATAAAATGCCCATTCGGATTTCGGCAAATATAGGAATATTTTAACCTACGAGGGACTCGCAATTGTTGAAAAACGGTAATTCCTGGGAAACAGAAATACAATACAATCATCTTCTACATGTTCTCAGGCGGGAATTAATTGAAATATACATTTTTTAAATTAATTAAAAATAAAATTTAGTGACTTCGTCACAATACATGTTTTTAAGAAAATTTGATTTATAAGTATTTTTATAATTTGTAACTTTGTTATAATTGCATAATAAAATAAGTATTTTTTTCTAAATTAGGAAAGAGTAAGTAAGTGTGTAAAGAGCTGTATTATATATTTGATGAACCAAAATTATCCAGGTAAATCAAATAGATAATAAAACAAGGATCCATCTGATTCTTTAGGATTTGATCTACCTGGATAATTTTGGTTCATCAAATAGGCAATGCAATCATCTGTTGGGGCACATATTGAGGATAAGAGAAAGACGAATGGTTAAGGATATTTTAGGTATGAGAACAATTAATAATAGAGGAAGAGGGAAACTTTAGAGTAATCTGGAAGAGGTCAAATCTCAGATAGGAACTGGAAAACCAGAAAACAATGAAGCAATAAAAAATGTTTGTTAAACTTTGAGGCACTAATTATGTGCTTCATTTATACCGGGTCACTTGGAGTCGGTACTTTGAAGTGGGGCCTACAAAGGCAAGCCGCCATATTTAAAGTAAACGCCGCGTTCCGTCGCATATATATATATATATATATATATATATATATATATATATATATATATATATATATATATATATTGAATTGTAGTCGTCCGTGGCATCCGTATAGATATGACCCTTGCTGGCATCCGCCCAATATACACCATGTATACTGAGAAGAATTTAAAAATACTAATAGCGTCTTTCGTGAACTCTGTAAGTTTGACAACACTGATCCGTTTATAATTGCATACAATATTTCTAGGTTTCGTAAAATGCAGCCCCTTTTAGACCTTAAAACCACATGTGTTTATTTTACGGTCCTTTAGTTGTACTTTGAATAAAGACCCAAAAATAGATATTTGTGTATTGCTCGTATTTCTTTTACTTTAAATAAATAAAAAGTGCCTTGGTTTATTTATTCATAAGTTTTGATTTAATTTTTTATTTTATAGGCGACAGATATATTTTGGAGAACATATTCTTTATCTTCTGGTTCAGTAAATAATTTCTAAAAACATCTTTTGTTTTACAGCGTGTGGAGGTGTATTCGAAATAATACATTTTAATTTGATTTAACAAGATACAGTAAGAAAACAAAAAGATGAGTTTTTACAAATTTAAAAAATATCAGTGGCGTTAAAATATAGAGAAAAAATTAAAATAAACGTTAGATAAATATTTTATGTCTGTTCTTATATTTTTTTAATATGTATCATTTCAGGGATAGTCCTTTTGTTTTAGTTGATTTATTTTCGAGAAGTTGTACATTTTCAAAACCAAAAGAGTGCAAAAAATGTTCTATATAGAACTCGTCTATTTCTTATGTCTCCTAAAAAGACAAAAAAGCAGTCCAAAAATGACGTTCTCCATAGTAAACAAAATCAATCAAAGAAAAACTAATAGGGTATTATTTTTTTTTTCCTAAAATTTTACTTTAAACTTAAATTGGATATAAATTTGGGTTAAACATGTAATATCAATGGATTTTTAGTTTTATAATGTTACTATTTTCTATTAAAACTTGGAAAAAATAGTTGTTTCATTAGGCATAAAAGCACAAGATTTAATGCCGTGGCTGGTGTTTCATAGCCGAAGCGAAGAGTTATGTTTAATTAAAATTCAAAATTGTCACTTATCCTCAAATTTCTTAAATATGGGTAATTTTAGGAAAGTTATGTATAAAACAGAACATATAGAGAATAATTTTGCAAACAACTTTTATTTAAGGAAGTTTCTTTTCCAAGTATAAATAACAGATAATAAAGTAGAAAAATGCTCATTTATAAAGTACCCCAGATGTTCTGACTATGTCCAAAATCTAATCAGGTTACCACATAATAGATTAAAGCTTGTTTAAAATTTAGTGTTTTTCTCTTTATCCGCTTTTGAGTTATGTTCAAAATTCAAAATTTTCACTTATCCTCAAATTTCTCAAATACGGGTTATTTTACGAAAATTATGTATAGAACAAAAAATATAAAAAATAATTTTGCCAAAAAATTTTAATCAAGGAAGTTTTTTTCCAAGCGTAAATAACAGATATATTCAATAAAGTAGAAAAATTACTCTCTCATAAATTACCCCCCTTGATGTTCCAACTATGCCCAAAATCTAAACAGCTTACCGCATGGTAGATTAAAGCTTAAATTTATAATTTGTTGCTTTTTTTTAATCCGTTTTTGAGTTATGTCCAAAATTCTAAATTTTCACTTTTCCTCAAATTTCACGAATACGCTCCATTTTAGGAAATTTATATATGGGGCAAACATTCTAGGGAAAAACTTTTATTTAAAGAAGTTTCTTCTCTACGCAAAAATAACAGATGTATTTCATAAAGTAGAAAAAGATCCCCTATACAGTACCCCCAGATGTTCCGACTAGGCCCAAAATATAATAAGTTTACCGAAGGGTAGATTAAAGTTTAAAACGGATTCAAGAGCCCCCAAAACGAAAAAAACCGTCGAAAACTTAAGGTCGAAAAAAATCATGACTACTATACTTTCCTTATCTGTATGTACACAGATAGGAAAGAAATAAAACTTAAGAATTTTTTTTTAATTCTTGAAAATCAACGCATTGCAGTAGAACAAAGAAATTTAATTATTTTTTTATTTGACCAACTGTTTGTCACTAACGCAGTATAACATTTATAATTAATATTTAAGGTAGGTACTCCATAAAGTAAAATAAAAAAATATGATGTACGTCTTACAGCTTGTATTTAAACCAAACCCTTTTCAAATTATCCCTAACATTTACTTTTAAATATTTATAATTATGATTATTATCCTCATTTCAGTAATATATTTGCTTTACTTTTAGCTTTAATAGTCAAAATTACTGTAAAAATTATAGAAATATTAGATAACATTCAAACTTTGGATTTTGCAAGAGATTTGTTCCATTTTTATTTTATAATCAAATAACTCGGATATTAGCCATTCCAAAACCTATGCAATGCATGTGTCACAGAGAATAGAAATTTTTATTTATTAAACTAACATTTTTTTATAAAACATTACAAAAGAAATTCTTTTTTAAAGTTTTATTAGCTCGTTAAATTTTTAAATACAATGCTAAATAAGAAACATATGCTTGACTGGCTCAAACTTGATTTCAGAGCTTATTATTAACAATGGAATCCTTTACAACGAAATGATTTATTATTTGAG